GAGAGCTCCTTCTGTGTGACATGGGGTTACTACGCGGCCTAGGGCTCGCTTCGGGCCCGTTTTCCCCGGGAACTGCCGGAGGAGGGAAACGGAGGAAAGCGGCTGAGGAAAACACCCTTGGCTCTGCCTCACTGAGGAGGAAATAGGTAGCACGCTGCGGGGTACGATCCTGAAAGTGCACCCTTGCCCAACAAAAGAGACCTCGGCCTGGTGTGCGCTCACCCGCCTTGAGCTTGGCTGAGAGCGATGCTCCAGGGAGAGCTGCGTGTTTGGGGCCGGAGGGGCAGCGGGCGTGTGCTGGCGAAAATGGCCCTGGGTTTGGTTTTTCTAGTCTGTGCCATCAATGGCGTAGGTGTGCTGGTCCGTAAGCTGGCTGGTTTGTGGACGTTAGGCTTTCTGCTGCAGTGTGGGCAATCCTTGCTGGTAAGGCATATAGTTTGTACAACAGAATGCATGAGGTGTGATTTGGTATAGCTGCATGTGCTCTTAAACACTGAGGAATGGTAAAGTTCACAGGCTCCTTCTGTACAAATAACTTTTTTTCTGTTTGTTTTTCAGCAACAGACAACAAATACTGTAGAGGAGCCTCTTGATCTCATCCGACTCAGTCTAGATGAGCGAATCTATGTCAAAATGAGGAATGACAGAGAGCTTAGAGGCAGACTGCATGTAAGTAAAACTTCCTGAACACTACCAAGCTTGTCCAGCTAAGCACTGGGCAGCCTTTTTTGTTCATGTGTGACAGTCTAGTACAAAGCTGTAATATTCCATTGATTGTTTAAAAACAAACAAACAAAAACAAAAAAACCCCAACATTTTAAAAACAAAGGTAATTGTATCTGATGATGTGGAAGTAGTTAGAGAAGGTTGGTTAAAGATCGTCTTATGGTAAGAGTTCAGCCCCTGTTACTAATTGTAATGTGATTGGTGGAAAAATCTAATTTGTTCAGTACTGTCTGCTATTAAAAGCTTCTCTAGAGAGTCAAGAGATGTATTTTGTTTTTCTTGGCTCCCAGATGATACCAAGCAATTCATGCCAGTGCTTTCGGCTTCTGTTCTTGTGTCTGTCAAATAATCAATAATGCTGCAGGCCTCCTTTTCTTGTGAATACCCTGAGGTCTATTTAAGACTGAATTAAGAATGAGATTGTCGTTAAGGCACGTCTTACGAGGTTAAGATGGGATATGTACTCACCTGGATTCTCTGCAAATCTCATTTGTTTAAGTGCGTTCTTCTGAGAGTGATATGCCTCTTGACAAGAGATTTTTGCTTTCTGTTAAGTCAGCCACCCTTACTGAGAACTGTACCGTGCTGGGGAAGAGAACCAGTTGCCTCATTTGTTACTGGGCATCAACTCCTTTGGGAACATAGATGAGGAGAGATGCATGAGGCACTGGCGTAGGTTGCAACGTGCTTTTGTAAAGTGTTTGGAACATGTGCTTATTTTATGTTCTTGTAAAATTGTATTACAACTTTCATGTCACTTAAGTTGGCCCCAGGCAATCAGTTCCAGGAGGCTGGACTGTCAGCAGAGAATGTGTAGCTGGTTTAATGTTACTGAAGTACGTCTGTCTCTGAGCTCCTGCATGTGTTCTCGCTGAAAGCTTCAGAGCTATCTCCCAGAAGGGTGTTTCAGTGAATATAAAAGCCTTCCTTTTTACGCTGCAGAGTACTGATGTGCCTGTGTTTTTTTGAAATAGTAACTGCAACTGATACTCCCTCTTTTGGTCGTAGTGGCACATTTTGGTCAAAATCAGACTAAACTAGTTATGTCTGAAAATCTTAAGATTCTCATTTTGATGAGCTTGTGCTTGAATTTTGGAAGAAATAATAAATGAATTTAATTCCTACAGGCATATGATCAGCACTTAAATATGATTTTGGGTGATGTAGAAGAAACTGTAACTACAATAGAGATTGATGAAGAAACCTATGAGGAGATTTATAAAGTAAGGATTTCTGTGTATTTATCCCCGTAGAAACATTTTTAAAACTAAACTGTGTTATATTGTTAAAGAAGCCTATTGCTGACTGATTTCTGAGTCAAGTTCTAAAAAGTTTTGGGCAAGTTGTTACAAAAGTACAGAGGATATCCAGAAACTTGGTGTTAGTTTTATTGATCTCTCAGTGTGCCAGAACGCTGTTTCAGCTTGTATTTGTTCGAGTTTTTTCTGCTTGTTTGTTATGGTTGAATTTGGTTGTATGCTTAGCAGAGATGTTTTGTAAATTATGCTTTTGTAAATGTAAACTTCTCTTTCCTTCTTCATAGTCTACCAAAAGGAATATTCCGATGCTCTTTGTCAGAGGTGACGGCGTTGTGCTTGTAGCTCCCCCGTTGAGGGTTGGTTGAAGCAACAAAGGATTTAACCTTGTTGGAAGGTTTCAGGCTTTTGGACAATGGTTCATGTTTTGATCATGTGCAGAATTTTGTGACACGTTTTTTACAGGATGTTTTTGTCCTTTTGGGAAGGGGGAGGGAAGGGGAAGCAGTTTGCCTTGCAGAAATTACATGTAGTCAATTGAAGCGGTGTAGACCCAACCTGATTTTATCAGAATTAATGTAACTGCTGTAAATTGGCTGTATTGTCATGTCAGTAAAAGAATCCTTCATTTTTTTTTAATCTTGGCAATAGCACTGTCTGAATTTTTTGTTTAAATAAATTTGATTTATCTTTCAGATTTGGCTTGTCATGTTTTTCTGTCAAAGATAATATTCTGTGTTTTTTCTATAGAGCTAGTGCTATATTAAGTTGTAGTATGTAGCCTCAGTTACTGAGAAGATAGTGACTTTTGTGTGTCTTATGTTAATTTCTATGCTTACTAATACCTGAGTCTTACAGATTGATGGGGGCGAATACAACATGAATTTAAGGTGCTATAATTTATGGCTATTCTGCATTCAAATTCTTGATGCATATACTTGTAGAAGGGAAATATTATGTATATGCATCTTCCACTTAAGATATGCAAAGAAGATGGGCTTCTTTACAATGTTTTCAGATGTTTTTATTGTGGCTTTAACAGATATGGTTTGCAAGGCCATAAGTGGGGACTGGGGTTGTTGCCTGCTGCATGCGTTCATTTCCTCCTGTCTGTAGCCTGTTTCAATTCTTAAATTCATTAAACGCTGCTGCATCTTTAAGGTGCTCGTTAGTTATCTGCAGTGAAGGTACACTAGAACCCTCTTTTTTTTTTTAAATATACTCTTGCCAGGCTTGCCCTGTTTGCAATCTGTTCTTCTTGTGTGGAGAAAAATAAAAGCTTATGCTATGAAATGTCCTAATAAGGATGTTTGAAAGTCATATGAGAGACTTAAGTCTACAGTGGGACATTTCCTACAGAGCTTGGTTTGTGACTTAATAAATTTAATTTATCTAGGTTCTTGGGCGTGATATCTGTGGGCAAATTCAGCTCTGGCACTTTCTCCTACGGTTAAAATTGTCATGACTTTGTCCATAGCTTGTGACAGTGGTGGGGAATTCAAGGTCTATCTTGGTAAGCTCAAGCCAGATTCTTCTTAAAGGAGTATTAACTTTTTTGGCAGCAAAATAAATACACTCAGAAGATGAATGTATACTTCATGCTCTTTGAAATAGGGAAGGCAGGTACTGACACACAATCTTCTCTGGCTTCCATGTGGCATCTGTACTCTGTTCTCATGCAATGTCCTCTAGCATTGAGATAGATTTTAAAAAAATGAGTGATAGCTGAAGCTGAAATAGTGAAGCTCGTAATTACAGTCTTAAACTTTTTTATCACACGGAGACTTGTTGCCCTATACCTTGCACTTTATTCTAGAAAGGACAGATCACTGCACTTGCAGGCACACAATAATTTGTTATCTTAAACCCATGCATGATGCTGTTTTCATATGTAGAGCCCTTGTATGCAAATGAAAGAAGAAAGTGTCTGTGCAACTTACTACTGCAACATTCTTTGAAAAATGGATACGTAGTGGCTTTGTAGCAGACTTCTCTCACTATACCTTCCTTGCTTGAATTTGGGATGGGCTGAAAACAATTTTCTTTGATTCCCATCTCATCTACTAGCGTGCTGTTTCTGTAAGAGTTGTCTCAGCAAGCACCAACTCCTGTTGATGTATACACAATCCTTTATCCTGAAGAAAGCTAGTGATGTGACAATTATTCCCCTTCTGGAAGGGGTACAAGCATGACTGCACTGAATCCTTTTTAGCCTAATATCTTACCTCCTACTACTCTAGAAGGCCAGAATAAATGCTTAGGGTAAGAGAGTAAGAATAGGAGAAAACAGCAATATTCCTTCAGTTCCCAGGGATCTGCACATCTGGGAAAGGAGAGAGTATGTTTCACAGAACTGGAGGGATTTCTTTTCCATTAATTAACCTACACACTTGTAGGAGGTTGGTAAGCTCTTTGCTGGGTATTTTTATGGTGTGTCACAGGCTGAGCATGTGTCCTCTGAAGAAATACTTTTGGTTTGGGCTTGGTTTTGAATTTGCTTTCTGTCACTGTTGCATGTGTGACAGACAGTGTTGGCTTGGTGGTGTTCAGAGATAGCAGAGTGTATATATACATTTACATTTCCATCTTTTGTACTCCTAATTGTCTTTCAGTTTTTTCTTTTCCAGGTTGCAAAGAAATTTTCTGTTTAATCATGTTGAAAGCTGCTCTGTTTCTTTTTGCTCTATGTGATTTTTGTATTGGAGGACTGACATGACACATGAGGTATTGGTACATCAAGAATTTCTGCCTTGATAAATCTTAGAATGGTTATGTGTTAATAGCACTTGTTAGGTTCTCTGAGAATGGTAAGAGGTGAGGTCTAATTTCCTTTACTAGAACCGTATTTGCCAGCACAACACATTTATGTGTATGTCCATAATTCTGTGTCACAGTATCCACATGGTTGAAAGAGGTCTGCTCACCTGAATCCCTGTAAAAGTTTCTAAAAACTGTCTCATTTGTCACTTTCTGCTTCTTTTGAAGTTTTAAGTGGGAGATTATGCATGGTGATTGGTAGCTCAATTATCGTCTGGTTGATTTCTTGGGTATTTACTGTCTGATTATAAAGATCTATTATTGTTTATGTCCCTGGAATGTCCAGTAGCTTCTCTTACTGACCCTCCAATCTGAAATGAGCTCTCCAGAGCAGGAGCCAGTCAAAACTCCCCCATGATGAATGTGGGTTAAATACAAATACATTTCCAAAGCTTTTCTGCAGTCTTGTCTCTTTCTTACTGTTCCTTCTATTGTTTTATCATCTGTTGGCTGTACTAACCCTTTGTCATGATCCTTGCTCCTGATGTGTTTGAAAGAATTGATCATTAATTTTCCTGAAGTAATTTCTTAAATGCCTTTTCATATTGTTGTATGGTTTTAGTCTGCTAGAACTTTTAATACGACTCAGCTTCTTGAAGGTTGCCGGTTTATTTCTAGTATATTTTAATAGATAGTAGCCTTCTGGTAGTTTTTAGCCTTTGGACTGCATCTTTTTGATAGGTGGCAGAGTAATTTCTCAATTTATCATCTTTAAATAATATATGTTCTGCCTGCAAACATCTGACTCTCAGTAGATCTTTTCTAACAAGATTTTTATTATGTAATTCCCTTCTTTAGAAGTGCTGGTATAGTTGGACCTCTGGTGTCTTACTGCTTTTGTGAGAGTGCCAGCTACCTGTGAAATTTCTGTGTGGACTCTGCAAAACCGGGCTCTGCTGCCCAAAGTCACATAGGACACTAGGTGGTGCTGCATTGCCTCGGTTCAGGCTTGGTTGGCTTTGTCTGACTGATGCGTGTAGCCTGTGTCAGCAGGCCCTGTAGTTGTGCAATTAGTCATTTGTTTTTAATTAGGATGGCACTTGCTGACAGTTTTAAATTAACTCTGCTGCTCACCCGTAAGTAAAGATCAAAATATGTTTCGATGTTTACGTAGGCACAGACCAAGCCCCCAAAAGAGTGGAACAGTATGTGTGCCTTGCATTGTCAGATTTTAAAATGCATGAACTCCAGACTAGCAGCTTTGCTAGTAGAATTAGCTGGAAAATTGTGACATATAGAATAAATTGTGGTTAACCACTTTGCTGCTAAGCACTGCTTGGAGAAGAACAGCACATGGTTGTGTGTGGTGTATGAGAACTGGTTCAAGTGCTGGTTCTATGGCCATTTAGTAACTCCACTGGAGAACTTCTCTGCAGTTAGAATTCAGGGGAACAACCTGCACTTATGAATTTATGTACGTTAAACTCCCAAAGTGACAGGTATTTCAGTTTATTTTTAGTCACTAGTACTGCTGCCTTTTTAAATGCACAGAAACGGATTTTGATCCAGTCCCTGTATTTAACAAAGATAAACTTTTGTTCTAGGTCATGTAGGGTTTAGAGAAATGTTTTTTTTTTAGAGTTGAACAGAGATTACATTATATTTCATTACTATTCCCCATCACTGAACAAGCCTGGGATTTGGATAATAGGTTATAGTAAGATTTGAGCAGCATGAGCAATGGTGAACTTCTGCAGGGACTCAGGGTTGGAAAAGCAGAACAGTATTGATCATGTTGGGAGTTCTGCAACAACACTATCTACTTTTGGTGTTTCTGTTCTTGTTCTATAGGCATTGGAAATCTGTAATTTGAAATATTCAAGAGAAGGAAGCTTGCAGGCCCTTAGAATTCTTATTAGAACTGGAGCACTGGGAAGGGAGCTGATTTGGTACAAGATGACAAACGTTGTGCATTGTTTGTTGGACTGATGATGACATGTACGGAAAATCCCATCAGGCTTATTAAGGTTTAAGGCGTTCATGCCAAGATCATTGATGGGCTGAATACATCATTACTGAGGGTGTAGGACTCCCATGTTTCTAAACAGGAAGCTGCTTTCATATACTAAACAAAAAGAATGGGAAAGAAAAATAGAAAGTTCTACAGAAAATTGAAGCACAGTGTCCAAGCCAGCCTTTTTTTTTCTTTGGGGGGGTCAGGGGGGAAGAATGGGTGGAAGGAAGAGAATAGATGATGTGGGCTGGAGCGGAAAACGAGAACCACTGACGGAAAAAGATGTAGTCAGAAACCCTGTTTATGAGTGAATTTTTTCATTGTTACCTAAATTAGTTTGAATGGAAGACAGGCCCACTCCCAAATTTTGGAAACTTTGGCCAAAAAGCCTATTTAGTTTTACAATGGTGTTTGATCGGTTTATGATGTGACTGCCTGCAGCAGCAGGGGACTAGGCATGCTGACTGTCTGGGTGGGTGGACAACCCATTGCAGAAAACTGCGTAAACCTTTGGAGGAGTTGGGTAATGACTGATCACTGCTAAAAGGCCTCTTTGTGTCTTCTTCTGTATGGTACACGATAAACATGGAGATTTATTTAAGGTGCACATGGAAATCTTTGGAAGAGATCAGGATATCCCAATGTAAGCTCGTTTTGTGAATTAGAAGTATGTTATTTGATCCAGAGTATGTACAGGGTTCCTCAGTCTTACACATTTTTGTATTCTGAAAGGGATAGTCTAAACCTTAAATAGAAAATATAGATTTTCCTATTTGTGAAGACAATAAAAAATCCATGTGACAGCATTAATTCTTGATTTCTGGTGTAGCTTCAGAAATTCCAGTAAATCTAATCTGCGTTATATATTTAGATCATAAAATATCCTTAATACCTCAGGTAATTGGTACATTTCCAGTTTCTCTTTG